TCACTCCGAGTTCCATGTCATGGGGCAGCCCTGTATATCAGCCCACATAGTTGAACTTGGAAACAGATCTTCTAAATCTTACCAAGGTCACATGTGTGAACTTGTGACTCTCCCCCAAGTCAAGTTTTGAAATTACTGGACTCCTTGATTACATCCTCATAAGGCAGTGAACTATAACCCTGCAGCTCAACTACTCCTCCTTATGACTCACTGTAACTGTGAAGTAATAAATCTTTGTTGCTTTCAGTTGCTATGTCCTGGGGAAATTTGTTATGCAGCAATAGACAGCTAATACACCTAGTGTGATCAGAAAACTGGGCTTCGATTCTTGTAGTTACAGCTTATATGGTAAGGCGAATGGTTGATCCAATTTACCCCCTCAGCTTTCTACCAAAATTGATTGCCTTAAGCACTCAGATATGACCAGTTTTCATAGAATTTTGTAGGAGGCCACCTTGCAAAGAAGTCTTAGACAAACTGATCTTTGATTCTTAGTTTATACCTTCTCTGTGATCACAAAAGGGGACTTCATAGATTAGAAAGATATAGACATCAGACCTATAGATCAGATTAGAACACACTAATATGTCAGTAACTTGTAGTTGCAATCCTAGTCACAAATACGACTATGATAAACTCTGGAGGATGGATAACAGAATACATAGGAGAAGAAATACTTCAAAAATACACTTGAAACTCTCTTTTATATCAGACTGTAGGAGCTCTGATCTGGATAGAGAAGAGGTCCCAACATTCTTACTGGGGTGCCTTATACAAACATCCTTCTTGTTACTCTATTCAGGACAATGATTCTCCTACTTTTCCACTTGTTGATAACCTATATAAAACATAATGCTGGTAAGGATGTAGCACTGCTTCATTGGCCAGTATTGAAAAGCCATTACATTGTATAAAACTACCCTTGCCAAAGAATCCTAGCTAGCCCACTGTGACTCCAAATCCCAGACTATCTAATAGGCCATTTGACTTCGCTTGACTTAGGAAAAAATCTATATTGTAGTCAGATTAATCACCCCTACATGGGGATAAAATATAACTGAGGTTGTGGATTATTTTGACTTTCACTATCAGTGCCCTTTCCTTCAGTAAGATAACTTATTTGAACCACAGGGGTCAGAAAACAAGCCCTAGAAAACTCACTCTGACCAGATAACCAATTTAAGGCAGCATATTAGAGTCTCTTTTGGCAGACAGGGGAGGATCACATATCTACACAGAAAGAACCACATGGAAAGGGCACGTTGTCTCATCCAGAGGGGGCCATTTATAGTCCTAGGGTCCAGTCACTGGCTGCTCTCATAGATCTTATATTTTAGTGGGTAAGACAGACAATAAAGCAAAGAACCATTTCAAAGAGCTGTGAGTGCTATGAAGAAAAAAAAATGGGTTATGAGTAGAGAGCAACTGAGGAGGATGTGTGGGAGATATTTAATAGGGTTACCAAGACAGGTCCCTCTAAAGGAATGATATTTGAGTTCAGAGCTAGTCATACAAAATCTTGGAGAAAATATTCCAGATGACAAGCAAACAAGTTCACAGTGAGGAAGAAGCTTGGTATGTCCCTGAAACAGGAAGCTACTATGACTTGAAAGTGAGTGGGAGAGTGTGCAAAAGAGCTCCAAGGGAAAAGGGCCATGTAGAGCCTTGAATATTTGGGTAAAATTGTTAATTTTAATTTTGTGTATGAGCTGAAACCACTGGGAAATTTTTAGCAGAAAAACAATAGGACCTGATTCAAGTTTTTAAAAAGATGTCTTTCTATCTTGTTTGATAATTGATTCCAGGGCATGAAGCAAAAAGTCCAATGAGTAGACCATTGTGGTAGTTCAAACCAGAGATGACAGTGGCTTGGAATAAATGAGAACAGAGGCATGACAATGTGTAGACTGGGTCCCCAAATATTTTTGGGGGAAAAGTTTAATAATTTGCTGATAGACTGGAAATGAGGAGAGACAGAAAGCAAAAAATCAAAAAATGATTCTCAAAGATTTACCTTGAGAAGGAGGGAACTGGTAGTAGAGAAGGTGAAATAAAGCCTACTGTTTTTCATCTATGTAATACTGAGATGCTATTAGCCATCTAAATGAAGATGTCAAGATGAAGGGTCAGTTGAGGTGAGAAACTGAATAAAAATTCAGGACTTGTAATACAAATTAGAGACTTATCACTGTATCAATGGTGTGTAAAATTGTAGAACTAGTTGAGATTAATAAAGGAAAAAAAATTTGTTACAAGAATCATTGGATAGATTTAGGGATATGGCAGATGGGAGGTAGGACAAGATTGCTCCAGACACAGCAGTATGTGGAGGCTCACACTGTGAATTTTAGCTGCAGATCGACTACAAGAACAAACCAGAAATCCTGAGAGCACCCACAGACCCTCTGAAGGAAGTGGACTACTCCTGCAGGACCCAGGAAACACCCTGAATACTGTGAGTGCCCCAACTGCAGAAGTGGGAAAGGGAAAGCTTCCTCTCCCAAACACACACCCTCACTGGAGAAGTCGAAGGTCTGTTTGTGGGAGAAGTTTCTGACTTCACTTGGAGCTGAGTCAAGTTAGAGAGTCAAACTGGACAAAATACAAGGGTAGAGGAAGGAGCAGAAAAGCCCTGAGAGCTTGCTGGGTCCTGACGCAGCCTATTCTTGCCTGGCACCATAAGGATCCATCAGGAGGGTGGCCAGAGAAGCCGGGGGTAAAAATCCACAGGCAGAAGGAATTCTCTAGCTGAACTTTGTAACAATTTGAACAGGGCGAGAAGTCTCCTAGCCAGAACTTGGGAGAGGGTGTGAATCCGAGTTACGGACTTCACAGGTGGAGGAAGAACTAAAGCAAAAAGAACAAATCTGGAGGCATCACACTGCCTGATTTCAAACTATACTATAAAGCCATAGTCACCAAAACAGCATGGTACTGGTATAAAAATAGGCACATAGACCAATGGAACAGAATAGAAAACCCAGAAATAAACCCAAATACTTACAGCCAACTGATCTTTGGCAAAGCAAACAAAAAATAAAGTGAGGAAAGGACACCCTTTTCAACAAATGATGCTGGGATAATTGGCTAGCCACATGTAGGAAACTGGATCCTCATCTCTCACCTTATACAAATACCAACTCAAGATGGATTGAAAATTTGAAACTAAGACCTGAAACTATAAAAATTCTAGAAGATAACATGGAAAAACCCTTCTAGATGTGATTTAGGCAAGGATTTCATGACCAAGAACTCAAAAGAAAATGCAATAAAAACAAAGATAAATATCTGGGACAAAACTAAAAGAGCTTTTGCATGGCAAAAAGGAACAGTCAGCAGAGTAAACAGACAACCCCGAAAGCGGGAGAAAATCATCACAATCTATAAATCTGACAAAGGACTAATATCCAGAATCTACAACAAACTTGGAAACAATCCCATCAAAAACTGGGCTAAGCACATGAATAGACAATTCTCAAAAGAAGATATAAAAATGGCCAACAAACATATGAAAAAATGTTCAACATCACTAATGATCAGGGAAATGCAAATCAAAACCACAATGTGAGACCACCTTACTCCTGCAAGAATGACCATAATAAAAAAATAAAAAAAAACAGTAGATGTTGGTGTGGATGCGGTGATCAGGGAACACTTCTACACTGCTGGTGGGAATGCAAACCAGAACAGCCACTACAGAAAACAGTGTGAAGATTCCTTAAAGAACTAAAAGTAGAACTACCATTTGATCCATTAATCTCACTACTGCATATCTACCCAGAGGAAAATAAGTTGTTATTTGAAAAAGATACTTGCCCACGCATGTTTATAGCAGCACAATTTACAATTGCAAAATAGTGGAACCAACCCAAATGCCCATCAATCAATGAATGGATAATGAAACTGTGGTATATATACACATGAGGGGATACTACTCAGCTACAAAAAGGAATGAATTAACAGCATTTACAGTGACCTGGATGAGACTGGAGACTATTATTCTAAGTGAAGTAACTCAGGAATGGAAAACCAAACATTGTATGTTCTCACTGATATGTGGAAGCTAACCTATGAGGACACAAAGGCATAAGAATAATACAATGGACTTTGGGGACTTGGGGGGAAGAGTGGGAGTGGGGCTAGGGATAAAAGAAAACAAATATGGCACAGTGTATACAGCTCAGGTGATGGATGCACCAAAATCTCACACATCACCACTAAAGAATTTACTCATGTAACCAAATACCACCTGTACCCCAATAACTTAGAGTAAAATAAAACAATAAAAATTTCTAAAATGTAAAACATAAAATATATGAGATGATAGTCACAAAAAAAAGAATCCTTGGACTTTTCAGTTAAGGTAAAACAATTCCTGGGATTTTCACGTATGAACCACTGAGTCGTCAAAGCAAAAAGAGGCCTCCTCAGTAAACAATGCATTAATATTTCGGTAACTGTGTCTTTGAGAACCTAAATTATCCAAACTTTTCATGTATGTGAACTCACTGAGTGACACCAAGTCAGTGTAGTTTCCTTTGTGTAGGTGACTAGTATTTTCTTTAATATTGTAATTATCAGAAGAGAGAAAATGAATTACTGTGCTAAATCTGTATCTATAAAGACAGTGGTATGGAGGCATGGCTTTTTAACATAATGACTTAGTCTTGTTGATTCATTTTAGAAAAGACATTGCCATAAAATATGTGGTAAATTGGAGATTCTCAATAATGACGACTTTAAATATTTTCTGCATAAGTATTCACATGACTCTTTTCCATTGAAGCTGTTAGTACCTGTTCATTAGTACCTGTATAAATGTTCTAACATAGGCAGCTGTACAACCAATGCTAAATGAAATAAAAAAGACACATTTCATTTCAGAGAAGTCTTGTGTTCTTCTCACCTATTTTTGAAGATTGAAGATTGCTCTGTTTTCTTCTTCTTATATCAAAAGAGGTATATTTCCTTTTTTGTTTTATTTTGTTTTGTTTTTTCAGAGAAAACTCCAAGTATTTTTGGCAAGGAAAAGATGATGATACTGATGATGATGGTGATGGTGGTGGTGGTACTGATTAGAGTGCTGATGGTAGTAGTCCTGGTGAGTATGTTGTAGATCATAGCTAATCATCACTGAGATGCTACTATATTTCAAGTGCTGAGAGAGGAGCTTAAACTGTGTTCTATCAACACAACAAAATGCAAATTATTTACTTATTTTGCAGATTAACAAAATGAAGATGAAACACAGTAAATTACTTTTTCAAATTACTTGACTGGTAAGACTAGGATCCACATCTTGGTCTATCTAACTCCAAAGCATTTATTCTTTACACTTTTTCATCCTGCGCATCGATCTATTAGAGTTCTTGTCTTTATGTTAGTCATACTCCTATGTTTAAAAGCAAATGAAGATAATTCCTAAGTCAAATGTGTGTGTATGTGTGTTTACATTTCTAAGGATACTGAGACAATTGCTATATAAAATTCAAAGGAAATATGGCTTCACAAATTGTAGCAGATGTCCCAACTGTATTCCCTGAGATCTCACCATTGTAAGGAACTACTGGGCTTCCAACTGCCTGAAAGTACCACGACAGATCAGAAAGTGTTAAAATACATTCTGCCACCCACCCCATGCCCAGTATCTCTCAACCAATGACAGATTTAGAATACAAATCCTTAGCTCCTTTGCCCCTGATCTGAGCTAACTCTGAGGCACTTGTCATATATGACCCCAGAGTTCCCACTTGAAATTCCCATTTACCTTGCCCTACAGGTAACCGGCTTGAAAATGTACTCTTTATTTTGTGCCTTTTCTTTTCTGCTTCAGTTCTCCACTCTCCTAACAATGCTTCCTGGGATCTCCTGCCAAGTAAACCAGTACATTTCAAACCCTAGCCTCAGGGTCTACTTCTAAAGGCACTCAAACTAATTTTCTCATGAATTTCCATGTTTTTATTATGGCTTGAAAATTTTGGGTTACCTATTGAGATTGTATAGCAATGAAAATATTTGAGCAGATTGCAGGCAGTATTATATCCACCATGGTACTCTCCCTTCATTTTTAATGAAATAGAGTTTCAACTATGTTCACTGCATTCTCAAATCCCTAGCTATTAGATCTGGGACAGCTTTGCCTTTAAACTAAAGGTTATTTGATTTTTTTTGGCCACTAACAGTGCAATGCTTGGAACTTCCTATATTTATCTAGTGCAAAGTCCTTTATGTGTGGTAAACAAGAGTCTAAGGCTCAATGGACTCTCACATTTCATCATAGTTGCTATAGCACTCCTGACCTCAGCCTAGAATTGTGAGGGTGCAGGGCTGCTCCAAAACAAGTGAAGTTGAGTTATTTTGTTTACTTGACACTTTTGACAGAAGAGAGAGCTTTCATTCTAAAGGACTCATTCCCGTAGAAGTTTGATTTACAGGCATACCCCAGAGATATTGTAAGTTCAGGTCCAGACCACCGCAATCAAGTGAATATCACAATAAAGTGGCTGACACAAAATTTTTGGTTTCCCAATGCATATAAAAGTTGTGTTTACACCACACTGTAGTCTATTAAGTATACAATGACATTACATATAAAAATTACACATATCTTAATTTTAAAATACTCTATTACTAAGACATGCTAACAATCATTTGAGCCTTCAGCCAATTACAATCTTTTTGCTGGTGGAGGGTCTTTCCTCAATGTTGATGGCTACCAGCTAATCTGGGTGATGGATGCTCAAGGTTGGGTGGTTGTGGCAATTTGTGAAAATAAGGCAACAGTGAAGCTTGTCATATTAATTGACCCTTCCTTTCATGAAGATTATCTGTGCATGTGATACTGTTTAATAGCATTTTATCAGCAGTAAAACTTCTTTCAAAATTGGAGGCAATTTTTTCAAACCCTGCCACTGCTTTGCTAACTAAGTTTATGTTATACTCTAATTTCTTTGTTGTCACTTAAACAACATACACAGCATTTTCACCAGGAGCAGATTCCATCTCAAGAAACACTTTCATTGCTCATCCATAAGGAGCAACTTGTCATCCAGTCAAGTTTTATCATGAGAATGCAGCAATTCAGTCATTTCTTCCAGCTCCACTTCTAATCCTAGTTCTTTTGCTGTTTCCACCACAACTACAGTGACTTCCTCCACTAAGTCATTCACAGAGGTTGAGATTACCTTCTTCCAAATTCCAGTTAATGTTGATATTTTGACCTCTGCCCATGAGCCTCAAATGTTCTTAATGGCATCTAGAATCATAAATTTTTTCCAGAATAGTTTCAATTGGCTTTGCCCAGGTCTGTTAGAGGAATCACTATCTACGACAGCTGTACCTTTACAAAGTGTATTTCTTAAAGAATAAGACTTGAAAGTCAAAATTACTCCTTGATCCATGGGCTACAGAATATATGTTGTGTTAGCAAGCATGAAAACATTCATTTTATTGTACATCTCCATCGGAGCTTGTGGGTGATGAGGTGCCATACCTATAAGAAATAATATTTTTAAAGGAATTTCTTTTTCTGAGTAGTAGGTCTCAACAGTGGGCTTAAAATACTCAGTAAACCATGATGTAAACAGATGTGCTGTCATCCAGGCTTTGCTGTTCCATTTATAGAGCATGGGAAGAGTAGATTTGGCATAATAATAAGGACCTTAATATTTTGGGGATGGTAAATAAGCATTGGCTTCAACTTTAAGTCACCAGCTACATTAGCTCCTAACAGGAGAATCAGCCTGTCCTTTGAAGGATTTGAAGCCAGGCATTGACTCCTCTCTAACTATAAAAGCGCTAAATGGCATTATCTTCCAATAGAAGGCTGTTTCATCTATATTGAAAATCAGTTGTTTAGTGTAGCCACCTCCATCAATATCTCAGCTACATCTTCCGGATAACTTGCAGTTTCTATATCTGCACTTCAGCTTTACCTTGTATTTTTAAGTGATGAAGATGACTTTTTTTCCTGAAAACTCATCAACCAACTTCTGCTTGTTTCAAACTTTTTCTTCAATAGCTTCCTCACTTCTCTCAGCCTTCCTTGAAAATTAAAGGCTTTCTCTAAAGTAGACTTTGGCCTGAGGAAATGTTATGGCTGGTGTGATCTTCTTTCCAGACCACTAAAGCTTTTTTCCATATCGGCAGTAAGGTTACTTTCTTAAAATTGGTGCATACCTTGGAGTAGCACTTTTAATTTCCTTTTCCTTTGCATTCACAACTGGGCTAACAGTTTGGCTATCTTTCAGCCTTTCTGGGCTTTTGACATGCCTTTCTTGCTAAGCTTAATCATTTATAGCTTTTCATTAAAAGTGAAAGATGTATAACTATTTCTTTCATTTGAACACTTGGAGACCATTGTAGGGTTATTAATTGGCCTAATTTCAATATTGTTGCACCGCAGGGAATAAGGAAGCCTAAGAAGGAGAAGAGAGATAGGGAAACAGCCAGTGGGTGGAGCAGTCAGAACACACACAACATTTATAACTTTAGTTCACCGTCTTATGTGAGCAGGGTTTGTGGCACCCCAAAACAATCACAATAGGAACATCAAAAATCAGTGATCACAGTTTACCATAACAGATATAATAATAATGAAAAAGTGAAATATTGTGAGAGTTACCAAAATGTGACACAGGGACAGGAAGTAAGCACCTGCTGTTGGCAAACTGATACTGATAGACTTGTTGGACACGGTTTCTGCACACCTTCAATTTGCAAAAATTGTAGTATCTATGAAGTGTAATAAAGTGAAGTGCAATAAGGTAAGGTATTCCTGTACACAGTGTAGCACTTAGATGTAATTCTGAATGATTCTGGCTTACCTTCACTCACATTTCTTTATTCCATAAAATTTTTAACTCATTTTATCATTTGTTTTATAAGATAGCTAATGGGTTGTTCATTAACTTATTTAGAGTAGTGGACAATGGTTTGTTTACACTAAGCTCATTTTTTGCTGCTGTATAATTAAATATTTTTTTCTGAATTTAACTTACTCTGCAGGCATTGTTGGAGAAAACGCATCCGCAGTATTTATGTTTGTAACTCCTTTTTAAATTTACTAGCACAGGGAAATTTTATTCATTTTTAACACATCTTAGGTTTGGTTCTTTGTCTCTTAATCAAATAGAGATCATAATTACTAGAACATTGAATGTCCCATATGAATTTCTCATGCTCCTTACTCTCTGAGAATTCATCTGCACAATTTAACCACAGGAAGAAATAAACATTTCTTTGGATTTATAAGAAGTAAAATATTCAAACCTCAACCGAAGAAACATTCATATCATCTGGGTATGTTCAAGAAAAAAAAAATGTAAGCCAGACCATCCACCAACACATGAAAAGAGATAGTCACTTCTCTCATCTTGGGGCTGGAAATTCCTTTTTCAACTGACATTTCCAACATCTGAAATATAGCTGCCATCACATTAACCAGATATACAGCACTCTGAGCTGAAAGCATAAATTGTACACATCTTGCTGTCAGTAGCCGTGAAAAGGAAATGTAGGTGCAAGGTCAACACAAACCCCTCCTATAGAAGAAGTCTACTAATCAAGAGGTGATCGGAGATCCTGCTATTGCTGGGATTGTCCTGTTTTTTGTCAAGCTATGTCCTGGGACCAAGAGGCTCAGGAAATGAGCAGGAAGACTTTGTTCTGGATGAAAAGGACTACTTCATGTAGCCTTTGACATGCTTTGAGAGGGAGGATGGAATAAGGGAGAAATAGCATCACATTAAACTCCCGGCTTTACCATTTACCAGCTGTGCAACCATTTAAACACTTGTGTAACAATTTAAACACTTGACCCTTGGTTTTCTCAACTGTGCTGTAGAGGATAATCATTACTTCTTTAACGTACCCCTACAGAGATTTTGTAGGGAATAGATGACGTGATGCATGGGAAAGCACATTGTGTATTGTAAAACTGCATGCAGTAAGTATAATGACTTACTTTTATTGACCCTGTAGTGCATGCTAGATATCCTTCTCAGGGTTTCTTATAATACCTCATTAAATCCTCATGGCAAACTTTGAAAAGGTACTATTATTATTTTCATTGTACATTTCAGTAACTTGAACAAG